CAAGCCGATACAGCTCAGTCCTCAAACTCACAAACCCGGCCGCGCAGAAACATCGGGTTTTTGGCGTTTTTGGCTTTTGGTTCCGCAGATCATCATAATTTGGACGCCATGTTAAGCCATGTTAAGAGCCGAAAGTGCCGATCCTGGCGTGCTTTTCGCACATTGCTAACAAGCAAACTGGGGCAAACGAGGGCGATGGACCCTAAACCCTGAGGGAGCCATAAATCCTAAACCCTAAGGGAGCCTAGGCCCCAAGCAGCCCACATCTGACACCACGCAAACCTAATTCTTGTGCAGGGTCTAGGGTTTAGGGTTTAGGGTTTAGGGTTTAGGGTTTAGGGGAAGTTTTAGCGTTTAGGGTTTAGGGCGCGTCCTCAAAACAGTCATGAAGGAGCTCACGTCCCGCAGTGGCGTTGGGTGCAGGGACCAGCGCAGCACCAAGGCGGTCACTCTGGGACGCCGCGGCATGCGCCTCATCATGACCGACCTCCACAGTCACAACTCACAACACCTTCACTGCCTGCAAGGAGTGGCTTGATGGCTTCGTCTCCGGCTCCTTGGGCCGAGTTTGGATGCCACAGAACCACATTGTTTTGGGCCTTCGAGCTGGCATGCGGGTGCGATCTATCTTGCTGACTCGCCCTCGCCACGTGCCTTACTATGAAAGGACGGCAGTTCGGAGCCCCATTGTGGAGCTGGCAGGCTTGATTGCACACAAGTTGTCGCGGGTTGTCGGGCCCTCGGAGGAGTATAGGACCAAGGGAGCAGAGAAGATCTTAGAGGCGTTGCAGCGATGCCGTCGTACCGATGGCATGTCGAGCCTCGAGGCTCTGGGTCATGCCACCAAATGATTTGAACGCAAGTCCATCACTCCGGAGTGGCGTGATATCCAAAGTCCGAAAAAAGGCCGCTTGCAGGAGTGTCTTTGGGGGTTAAAAACGAGTTGTTACGTCTTTCTGGAGTGCTCGAAAATTCGGTCTCCGTCAGAATGATGGCGATGATACTGATGATGCTGCTGCTGATGATGATGATGACGACGACGACGATGATGATGATGATTCTGATTCTAATGATGATAATGATGATGGTACGGGTTAAGGTCTATGACAGTACCTTATGTTCGCCCTTACTTGACGGATAATCGAGGACGGAGATGTACCTTACGTTCACGCTTCATGTGAGCCTTACGTTTACCTTGTACTGCCGGATTCTGTGCCGGAACTTCGCATGAAACCTGCAGGAACATCTTGACCCTGCATGCGACAGAGCTGAGAAATTGAAGGTGTTCTGTGGAGAGCCAGGAGCTGGTGAAGGAATACTGATCTGTTTGTGATATACCTTGAATTTACCGCTCGTTGTATGTTGTCGTTGTGGAATATGCAAAGGAGGGATTGGATACAGGTGACCCGAATTGATGTTTGAAGTACAGTATTCCATAACGTTCGGATATATTCTACTCGGAATGGGGAGCCCTTCATAGAGAAGGACGACGGAACACTGTGGTGGGGAGGCTCTGGTGGGTGGGGAGACCCGCCGAGACCTGCTGTGGTGGCTCTGGTGGGGAGATCCGCTGTGGTGGGAGGCTTTGGTGGCGGTCCCAAAATCCAAGGGTTTGGTGGGGTATTGAATTTAATTACAAACGGGAGGAGACCCGCTGGAAAGGCTCTGGTGGGGAGATCCGCTGTGGTGGCCCTGGTGGGGAGACCGCTGTGGTGAGGAGGCCTGGTGGGAGTCCCAAAATCCAAAAAATCATTTTGCGGCCCGGTTAGGACATGTTGGTGGGGACGCTCGGTGCTCTGGTGGGAGGGACGCTGTGGTGGGGAGGCTCTGGTGGGGATTAACAAGTCTGATTGGTCCTTCATCATAAAGAAAGCCTCCCCGGCACCCAAAACCCCAAATCCAAAATCCAAAATCCAAGGTTGTGACCGCTCGTGCTCAAGGTTTAGGGTCATATAATTCCAGTATTTCCAGCACGCGCAGAGCCGTGCGCCAGCACCATTGGAAGGTGCTGGGGCTCCTCGCTCGACTGTCGCTCGCTCCGGAGCCTGCTGCGTTGAGCGCAGCTAGGCTCGCCGCAGGCAAATGCGGCGCCCGCGGCTCGCTAAGGTTTAGGATTTTGGGTTCAGGGTATAGACCTCGAAATAGAAGTTCTAGGGACCTTTACAAGAAAGTAACTTACCAGGAGCGGCAGTAGTCAGTAATGGGCTGTGCGCCCTGGTCCTGCGACGTTTGTCATGTTTGGTTTAGGGTTGTAGTTTCGGTGCTCATTCTCCGACGACGGTCGTCGCAGGGCCCAAGCCGTTAATCCCGAAACTCGTCGTTATCCTGTCCACGTAGAAAGCTGCTGAGAGCGAAGGAACACGAAGGCCAGGACAAAAAAGCGCAGCTGGGCTTACGGGTCATGGCTTCAGGGTGGCTGTACGTCGAGCAGTGGAGGTTTATTATTGCTTGGAGTATACAAAATTTTTGAAAGTTCAGGGGTTGGTGCTGTGAAGAAAACATGTGCTGTAAAGTTGTAAGACCCTTAAGCCGCTACTCCCAGATCGTAAATATTCAGGCAAATGCCCTGAACTCCCAACCCCTTAAGCCACCACAAATGACATCCAACAAGAATCTGCAGATAAAACACCGATACACAAACCTTAGGTTTTGCTACTTTCCCGAAGTTTCATGGGTTGGTCTAGAACGCGAAGAGGTTAAAGTGCGGTACTGGTCGAGATCAGTTTGTGAAGATGAGCTTCGGCTTCGGGCTGAGGGCTAAGGGCATAGGGATTTGGTCTTTAGGGTTTGGATTTAGGATTCAGGGTTTAGGGTTTAGGGTTCAAGGTTTAGGGAGGTATCTTGGTCTTTAGGGGTTTAAGGCTTGCCACTAAACGCGCAAGTGGACATCTGGGCTTTGGACCGTGAGCTCCAACTTTGAGCCCTTGGCACTCATTGGATGCTGGTGCTTCTGTGCTTAAAATGAGAATTAAACCCCCTGAACCCTAAACCCTAAACCCTACACCCTAAACCCTAAACCCTAAACCCTACACCCCAAACCCCTAAACCCCTAAACCCCCTAAACCCTACACCCCAAACCCCTAAACCCGCTAAACCCCAACGAGGAGGATCCTGGGTTTGGATTCAGGCCTTGCACTCCTTGTCGCAAGCGCTGACCTGCGTTGATTTTGGCTCTGCCTGCAAGCTGACTATTGGGGTTACATGCTTTACCCCCAAACAAATGCTTGGTTCGGGCATGTTCGGGCTTTCGGGATTGTGGAACCTGGAACCTTGCATGGAAGCCCCACGCCAGAAACATCCAGAAAACTGGGGCCCCTAGCCAGCACCCCCAAAGCCACCACTAGCACTTTGGAACCCTAAAGCGGCAAGCCAGAAACCGCTAAATCCGCAACCCTCACCCCTCGGTCCCAATTTATTTTCCTCTGACCTGAACCTAGATTTTGTGAGATCGATAAGTGTGTTTCTGGGGGCGTTTTATGGGATTTTGGTTGTCCACTGGCTGCATCAGCCCTTGGAGCCCTTGCCATTTGCGCGGCCGGCGTCTGCATCATGAAGGGGGCACTGCAGGCCGCTGGGCAGTGGGTAATTATGTTGGAACACGAGTCCTTATGGCCCTTGTCCTAAACGCTTAACCCTACACCCTAAACCCTTAAACCGCTTTGCGCATTCGGGGTGCTTCCCGCTGCCTTCTCTGACGCCTGCATAAAGCGCTGTGAGGCGGGGTTGTAGAGCCTGGGGTTGTTATTAGAAGCGACATGGCGTGACGAGGATGTCGCGTTGTGACCCCAATAGGCTTTCAGAGATTCAGAAATCTGAATCGCCTTAGTCAATCCCGAACTCTTCAGGGGGATGGCTTGCCTGCAATTCCTTTCAGGATGTTCAGAGTTCAGGGCTTAGGTTTAGAGTTTAGGAGTTTTGGAGTAAGGCCGTGTAGACATGGAGTCCCCTAAGTTGTATAACGACGCAAGGCTTGGGCTGTAGCTGAGCAGATTTCCCAAAATCCCAAGCCCCTTAATTCAGGAATCTACTTTAAATCATATGGACGATCCCTCTATGATTGAAGGTCTATCCTTCATGGGGCAGTTTAGGAGTGGTAAGTTGGCACTTCTGGTCGACTGAAGTTCCACTGATCTGATCTGCGAGGTTTGCACGTTGGGGGCCGAGACCCTTAAAGTTTAGGGTTTAGGGAGTTTAGGGTTTAGGGTTTAGGGTTTAACCCTTGACATCGAGACAAGCATGCTAAAGGCGGCTAGCAAACAAGTAAGCGCCAGGCCATGCGACTTGCAATAAACACCGTTCCCGAAAGCATGACTCGCAGCCGCATCACTCTGCCCGAAACCGACGAATCCCAAGTCACATCACAAGCACAGCTCGAATCGCAGAGAAATCGCACATAGATCACCCAAGATATGTTTTCTAAGTCCGCGTACTTTCCGCGCGGCCGTGCCCACCCCCGTGCATGTGAGCTAAGTCAAGGAGATAGGCTCTGAACGCCTCAGCTCCTTAAGCTCTGAGCCCGAAGCCTCAAAACGAAATGGGTACTTCTCTAAATTAGGGGTCTCTTTGTGGGTCCCCAGAATAGTAGGGCGCCCTTATGAAAAGGGTACCAAAATGGGGACCCTAATTTAGAGAACCCCCCAAAATCGAAGCCCAAAAGACAAATCCGAAGAATCCGAAGCCCAGAAGCCAAATCCGAAGCCACCAAATCCTGAAATGAATTAAAGCCCGGAGCCCGGATCTCTTTTCCCAACCCCGAAATCAAAATCAGCAACCCTGACACAAAGAAAGGCCAACCCGCTGAACCCTAAACCCTAAACCCAACATGTGACAAAAGTTGGGCTTCGGGCGAAGGGTTTTAAGGTTCAGGATTTACCGGGCTTCCTAAGCTAGAGCCTGGCACCCTTGCTGTGTTCTCTTTGCTCTGTCACTCTTCCCTTGCCAGAGCATCCAAGCCCTAGAACAGCTTGTGAAGCACCGGATACGCCTTGAACTCGGTATCGGTTTAGGGTTCAGGGCTTTGGGCTTAGTTACACCATGTCACACTAAATACGCTCCTTGTCTCCTTGTCCTTCACACCTGAAGGTGGGCTTCTTATCTCGACTGTTAAATTTAAGTCTTGCAGCCCTGAACCTTTTTTTTCTTAAGCCCGAAGATGCTCGGCATTAAACCCTAAACCCCTAAACCCNNCCCTAAACCCTAAGCCCAAGCCCCCACCTGGCCGGAAGGCCGCGCTGTATCCGACGGCCACAGCCAGATGTCTCCATCGTGAGGCCTCAAATCCAGGGCTTTAGGGTTTCGGGTTTCGGG